TTTTAAAGAATTCAGTTCTGGATCCGTATCCGAAGACATGTCTGGATTGATCAAGTTCAAACTTTACACACACATGGTACATCATGTCACAAATAGATATGTGCATTTGTTTCATGATCCGCTTAACAATAGCTGAATGATGGCAATTTTAAGACCGAAAATGCATTAAAATCACGTATTTTCACAATTCCGGAACCAGATCTCAGTCATGCATGGATGGATTTTGTTCAGATTTAGTACAATGTGTTGTACATATGCAGGTGCATTTCGGTCATGATCTGCTTTGAATGTACATGTCACTCAAATATGAACGGAACAGGGACGTGTCATTGACAATGACTTGCTACTACATGGTTTAGAAATAAAATCATTCAGGATGTTTTGCCATTCCAGTGACGCATGTATTGCTGAGATGGCAGTGATTGACAAAATTCGACTGGCTTTTGTTAACCATTGATCGTATGCAATTGTTTTAGGAGAGTTAACTTCATGCATGAATAGGAAATTAAATTTTTTGTCGTTGTTGTAAATAGTATAAATGTGAATGGCTGCAAAGACTTCTTTTTAACCCGCAAATGTTGTACCTTTTTCTCTGCTGTCATCGTAAGCAGTGTTGCCCTGATACATCACAATGGTTTTTGTAACAGTGCTTGTGATGATGGGGGGGGGGGGGGGCTTTAGCTGAGGGACAAAAAACAAGTCTGACGGCAGTTTGTGTCTACTGTGAAATTTTGTAGTAGTGAAAATTTGGGGGAAGGGTTTCATACCATCTGGAGCGTCATCAACTTTTACAAAATTTTAATTTCACAAATACTGTACCCATAAAATCATGTGAATTCCTTGGCAGTGATAATTTAAGTTGTTTACAGTAGCTCAAACCTTTGCATGATTGTTTGTGGTATTTATACATGTAACATGAACTAAATTTTTGTTATTCTCCCACTCAGTTTAAACTCTGCCACCTCAGTGTCATCAGATATTACTTTTATGGATGCCGGCAATACCGATCACATGGTTGCCATGACACAACTTAGGGAACAAGTTGCTAGTTTAAAGAAACAACTCAATGAGAAAGATAAAGTGATACTGGAAAAAGATAAGAAGGTATATAAACATAAAGATACGGTATTGTTCTTTGCATGAATCATGTAAGACTGTATTTTACAAACTATATACTCGTGTGTATGGTTTTCGCCTGAAATTGTGTATCTAAAAAATGAACAGCAAGCCTTTTACACTACAATAATCATAAATTATAATAGATCTTATCAAATTGTTACTTCTGATGTGTTAATTCAGTTCTGTAGCATTCAATATAATTTACTCTCTCAAGATGTTAGTTTTCTGCGAGACAGCATATAAAACTCATAACCTGAGAACATGGATTCTAATTTACATATTGAAATTACATTGAGCTCTGCATACTCCAGACCTTTCACCACTATAGTTTTACAGACTAGAATATCTGGGATGAATAATCTTTCGTTATTGAATGTGTTTGGTGATCTATCTTAAT